CTTTGTTCCTTCCCTGGAAGGACTGCCATGAACTGCACAACCAACCAAAGTATCAGGCTTTTCTCATGGGCTTACACTAGCTTCACAAGTCAATCCCAGTTCCCCAGGGCTTTCTGGTGACGACCAGAACCCATACATGCCTCCTTCAGACATGGCATTCCAGTCAAAGTCTTGGTTAACAAAACTACTATTAACGACTGGTCTTTTTGGTTTTATGCAAAGAAACCTTATGTTATCACTTACTCCTTCAGAATGCCAAATTCTGGAGGGATCAGGTAGGGAGAAAAATACAAAGCATGAAGGAAAATCTTTTCCCTTCTGATATTTACTAGGCTTTTTAAAAACTTTTACTTCCACAGATTTTCTGCAACATTTACAAACCCTCTATTTTTTCTTTCATATTCCTTCTGATATTTATTAAGATTGTATCTTCATGCCTTATATATATTTTTAAAGATTTTATTTTCTATTATTAACTAATATCACATAATTCCTTCCTAAAGCTTTTACTTTTCCATTTATCTTTGTAGTTTCCTACAGACCTTCTTCATATATATATATATATATATTTTTTTTTTTAATTTACTTTCCTACAGAGTGTGAAGTTTCAATCTTCCCTGGAATCCTCAATTTCTTTTTTAGAGCAGATAGAGAGCACAATCCAAAACAGAGTTCCAGAACAATACACAGGTAGGGGCATTCTTTTGCACCAATGTGTCCATCGGTGCCTCACAGAGACATGCTCCTTTAGGCCCGGTCTTTTGGCAGAGACATGCTGCTTTGCCTCTGGCTGAAGCACTCATCAGCCCCAAATGACCCTTCCTGGGTCCCGAGTGGCAAAGGCATTCTCCCCAACCGGTTACAGGTGACCTTTCCCTAGGTCTTTAAGTTCAGAGGGTTTCTGATCAGAAACAACACCAATGTTAGAGATTTGCTTTTTTTCCCCCACAAAACCAGAAAATAAATAGTTGAGGTTTCCTTTACTCCAGGTTTAAAACTTTACATTCTTTATACATAATTTTACTCATTCAGATTCAACCATTATTCTCTTTTAATCCTGGTTCCTTTCCCACACTGGGAAGGACCATACTTAAACTCAGCATGTGGCAGCCAAAAGTCCCTGGCACTGCAGGTACCTTCCACTAAAATTCCCTAGATTTGCAGGGACATTCTGCAGTTTTCTGAAGCTCAAACCCTGCAAAAATCCTATAGGTCAGATGTTCACCCTTGGATCTCAGTTCATGTCCTTCAGAACCAGAGCCATTCTTATCAGAACCAGTTACACAGAGAAGCAGACTGATGCGGTACCCACACAGCAGCAGCATACAGCCTATAATCTAAAGAGAGCCCTTAGCCTGGCACCTTGCCCAGTTCCAAGATGGAGAGGCTCTCACGTGACCTGTCATCCAAGATGACAACCATGCATGCTCCACCCTCCACGGTGGGGCACTCACGTGGCTCGTCTTCCATTTTACCCAAAATGGCAGCGTACCCACATGGCTTGCTGTCCGATCTCCCGCATACATGCAATATAGTACTGTGGCAGAACCCCACCCATGATGAATTCTTCCGATCGGCGCAGACAGACAAAGGAAAAGGGGATCTTTTGCACGCCTGCTGCAGGTGAGAGCCCAATCAGACTCCGTAAGCCTGGCCGGCTCGTGGAGTCACAGATACATTCACACACACAGTCATACAGAGTTTACAACTTTTCCTCTCCCGAGTAGGAGTCCGATGGTCTGGGTCTTGGCCCAGACTCCTGAATTTTCCAGTTGAGAGGTGATCATTCCCTCTCTGGTCTCGAGTCCGGTCCCCGGGGCACTTACCGATTCTGATTGGCGCCTCCGACAGTTCGTGGTTCATCTCTCCCTCTGCCCAGGTCTTAGAGTGGTCAGGGACGCGGCACGGGAGTCTCCGCCCCGGGAAGCCTGAAAATACCGGGGCATGTGCTCCTTCCCCTTTGGCGGGGCTCCCCCGCCGACCCCTCGGGTCGTCTTCACCAGAGGCAAAATGCCTGCTCATGTGAGTGGGTTTCCCAGTCGGAACCAAAATGTTGCAGAAAATAACACACACTCGAGGGAGGTGGCGAAGCACAATCCTTTATTACACGCACGGGCTCAGAGGGGTTAAATTCCCAAATCCTGAGCAAATGAGCTCAAGCTGGAGTTTCCTTTAAATACTTGCTACAAGGCAAAAAGGGAGGGGGGAACAGCTGCTAAAAGCAAGCATCCAGAAGCAGAAGTGAAGGTTAGTGCTTTGGCCTTGAGATAACTGTTGCTTTGGAAATGGCTGCTGGTCAGCTCCTACCTAAGAATGGCTACTGCTCAGCGATGTCCTGTTACATTAAAACAAAAGGCACTGTGACTTTTGCAGGTGTTACAGAGAGCACTGCTTATCAGTGAAGCTGCAGAGCATAGAAGCTTTTTCATGGGGTTTTCTTTTCCTGCCACATACAAACTTAAAGTAGTGACCTAATGTCTTCATCAAAAACCTAAAGTCCCTTAAAACACCCACAAACATACAGTCCTTCCTTCCCCCTTTGCCCAGTCTGGGGTACCGTATCTCAGGAAAGGAAATAGAAGTCCTTGGCTCAGGCAGCCCGGGTTTTTCCCAGTAGTTCATCTTGGCTGGGAGACCTCCCTGGGTCCCTGGCGCCTTCAGCTGTGTCGCTGACATCTCTGCTAAAGCCGGGTGGTGGTTCCCCCACTAATGCTGTGGGGCTCTCCACTCTGGCAAAGCCTCGAGGTTCTTTCTCCACTGCTCCAGCCACATGGTCCTCTCTCCTAGGGCCACGGGAGTCCCCACTCAGCCAAAACTGCGTGCTTCTTCCTCAATGGCTGCCGTGTCAGGGTTTAAATCCCCGCACCAATCTTCCTCTGCAGCCCCATTTCCGACTCCTCCCAGACTCAGCCACACCTGCCCTCAATCTCCCATCCTTTCCAGCTTTTTTGGCTGCCATTGTGGGTCTGGGCAGGTGTGGCCCCATGTCATGGAGCTAATCTCTGAGCTCCCATGCAGGCGCTGTAACTCGGGGGGACCTGCCCCCAGTCACATCCTGGGGGGGGGGGTCCCTTTCCATCCCCCTGGCCCAGAGCATGGCCATAGCTATTTAGCATATCTAAGCGACCAGCCAAAAGCTATAGGTATGTTAAATGGCCATGCCATGGATTAGCTATAAAGCTGTTGCTGTACAAAAACAGCCCTGCATATTCTTGCTCCGTGTGTCCCTTCCCCCAACTCACACCTGTGGGGTAAGGGGTGAAGACATCTTAAAATCTCCTGGACACCTTGAGTTCTGGACTCTATTTGGAATGCCCATTGGGGTTCCCCCTCTTGGCTGCACCCTGTAACAGTGTTGCTCGTTCCAGTAAAACTGAGCTCAACTTATAACTCTGTTGCATCAACTATACATTTGACAGTTTCTTTCCCGCTTGAGAAAGTTCATCAGAATGTGAGTACAGGTGACATTATAGGGACCACCTGGAATCTGCTTAAATCTTTTTTAAAAAAGAAAAATAATGTGCTTTGTTGATAAACATGATTGTGATACACCTCCCCAAACTGGTATGAAGTGCATGCTGTTTTCTCTGCCTAGAGTCTTGTCCTTACTCTTTCTTTAAATCCAGCGTAATGTCCGCCCAGCCACCTGCTAGTCTTCTAGTGTAAGTGTAGGTTCAGGATTCCAGCTCTGGTTCCATTAGACTGCAGAGCTCTTCGTCAATCACTAGATTAATCACTGATCCTACAGGTGGGGGCCACTTTCTCAGCACATTTGCTATAGGTTCTGTGACGAAAAATGGTGCCTGGAGCATGTGACAAAACCTCAGAAAAGGGTCCACTCCCACCCCAGGGTTGCAGGTTACACAATAGAGGCTGTGAAGAAAGGCCGTACCTGAAGGCACTAATTGATGCTTTATAGTTCTCAAGTGCCTGAAGATTGATTGTTAAGGAAAGCAGTTATCAGAAGTTGTTGATCTGTTTAAGAAACAGGCGAGTTTCAAAACTGCAGTGACGTGCTGGTTGGTGGGATAAAAGAAAGGCTGACTCCCCAGGTGACCCACGTTGGGAAACGCCGGACTAGGGGAGGGGGAGGGGACGGCCTCTGGCCCCTGCCCTGCCCACTTCCTTTTGAAAGTGTAACCTGGCGTGGCCTTCCTTAGTTGTTTCTCTGGAAAGACCAGGATATGGAGTACAAAAGCCGGGAACCTCTGGGGCCGCAGCATCCGCCCCTGCCCCTACTCTCCCACCCGCTTCAGGTTGCCTGCCGGGGAAAAGCGGGACGGAAGCCCGCGCATGCGCCAGAGGGGCGAGGTCTGCTCACTGCGACGTCAGGGGGCTAGCGCCCGCGCGAAAGACCCGCCCACCAGGAGCCAAGGGCGGCCTGGGCGGGGGCCTCGGACCACGCCCCCAGCCGAGCCGAGCGGGGCCGAGCGGAGCCGGGCGTCTCCGAGCACAGCCGAGCCCAGCCGAGTGGCCGGGAGTCGGTTGGTGCAGCTGCGTCCCCGCCGCTCAGCAGTCCGCGGCTCCGGCGTCGCCGGCGTCGCCGCCGCCGCCGCCGCCTCAGCGGGGCCTGCGCCGGCCCGCCGGCCGGCCGCCAGGAGGGAGGCCCGGAGCGCGGCAAGAGCGGCCCGGCCGCGGGCGCCGCCGCCGCAGCTGCCAGGTGAGCGCCTGCCGTGGCCCGCCGGCCCCGTGTGCTCCCCGCGAGTGTCAGTTCCCGTGTCGGTGTGTCTCTCTGCCTGTCAGCCCTCTGTGTCTGCGCGAGCTCCTTCCCGCCACGCCTGACCCTCAGCCCTGTCCGTAGTGCCCGCCAACCCCTCCCGCCCGCGGCTGCCCTGGGTCTTTCTGTCAGCCGCCAGCACCCCCATGCTGGGAGGCTCCGCCCCTTCCCCCCGAAGCCCCGCCCTTCGCCCATCTGTCATCACCCCCTCCCCCAGCTCAAGTCTAGGGCGTCCTGGGGGCGCGGGGTGCCCCCGCTCCCGGGGGGTTACCGTAGCTCCCGTCAGGCAGACAGCTGCGCAAGGAGCAACCAGGGGGGTGTGGAGGGGGAGTGGGGGTCTGCCGATGCCCTCCTGCCGAGTGAGGGTGTGTGTCCGAGGGTGCGCCGGGTGGGCTCGGCGTGTGCACCCGAGAGCAGGGAGGGGAGCGCGGGGGACGGCTTGATGGACGTGAGGCGGAGATGCTGGGAGGCCAGAGCCACTTGCTGCAACTCCCGCCAGCCGGTTTGCCCCGCGGAGATGGGCTGGCTCCTGCCTCCGGGAGGCGAGTGAACCCAGACTCGACCCGCTGGCGTCCAGTAGGATCCTGAGCCCTGGGACCCTCGTTTGGCCACGCGGGAACAGAAGACCCGGGCGCCACGTTCCCGGATTCCACGAGTGGAGTGTGAGCGGAGTTTGGGGCTAGTGAAACCTTCTGGGCTTGGGATTTTCATTCAGGGAACCTTGTTGGAAGTGATTGCGGAGCGGGTGGGATGCGGCGCTCAGGTGCCTGGGTGAGAGCTGGAGTCACTTGGAGTCGAGTGGTTTGCATTTCTGAGCTGTGATTGCCTTGGGCTTGCGCCCTGGGAGAAGCTGTTCTGTGATGGCGGGGGGGGTTAGGCAGAGGGGGCGGGAGGCCAAACTACTTTCTGTTTTTATCTGGGTTACGTGAACACACAGTATATTTATTCATGAGACCTCTACACATTCTCACTTTAAAAAGGGATTACTGCAGTTTCCATTTATATACATGTTCTCCTATGTTGTTATCTTGATGTTCTTTATTTGTAGTAACTTAGTATTGCAGTATTTCAAAACGAAGAGAAAATGCATCCCAGAGCGATTTGGTATTTTGCCGGATAATTCTCAACCATGGGGAAAGAACCAAAAGCGCACTTCATTAGCTGGAACAACTTATTTGGGCTTAATTTGTTTCTAAGAGACATACAGTGGAAAAATCCAGAAGCAGCAAAATAGTATCAAAGAGTCTTAGGAAATTAATGAAAAGGGCTTTCTATTGCTGCGGTGGAAAGATGGTAATCAAAGTTGCTTTAGAGGACAGAGCTACTATGTAATGATAAACATATTAACCAAGTGGGTTTTGTGACCTTGATACATGGAGCAGCCGCTTGATCTGTGCAGTGCTCCACGACAGGCAAACATTGCATGGGCAGTCGGGTAATTTTTGGAGAAACGTTCTCTTGTGTTTTGTTTTTCGGTTTTTCATAATTAAGATTTCAGACTGAGGCAGTTTCACGGTGGGAGTGGGTTTTTTTTTCCCTCTTAAGATAACATTAAAAGTTTCAAAAGTGATTCATGTGTAAGGCAGAAAAGCCTAAGGAAAAATTCACTGTCCCACAAACCATAAGTAATCCAGTTTGGTATTTATCTTTTTTAATCGTTTGTTCCCATGTGTTAGTATTTTTTCTTACAAAAAATGCAACCATACTATAAGATTGTTTTATTGTTTTTTTTTTTTTACTTATAAATAGATTATGAGAGGTATCTATTTGGTTTGTTTTTATGAGTAAGAACTTACATTCCCTGTGTGATCTTTTTAAAAAGTTAGAACCTCTGCTTAGAGCATTGAATAGCTTCTTGTTATATAGTATAATCTGAAGTCCTTGCCTGCTGGGCTGCTCCCCGTCCTCACTTTCAGCCCTGCTGGACAGATCTCTTTGCTATGCCTTACAATCTTCAGTGCCTTTACACTTGCTGTTCCCTCTACCTAGAACTCTGTTTCCTGGGTATGAGAGTTCTGGCTGGAGGTTTCTGCTCAGATATAACCATCAGCCTTTCCCTGACTACTGTGTGTACAATACATTCCATTCTCCAATCCTCCTTAAACCCACCTCACTTGTCTTCATAGCACTTACCACCGCTTGGTAAATACATACGGAGTTATTTGTTATTTTATCATCTCTTCCCCCTATTAACCCAGAAATGTGAGACTTTTTCACTGATAGAACCTGAGGGCCCAGAAGAGCACCTGACACATCCTGGGTGCTTAATCAACATTTGTTGAGTGAATGAATGAATGAATGCTCATTATCCATCTATTCACGTGACCTTCCTGGTGACCTCCTAGGCTTTTATGTAGCTAGATCATGAAATGGGATAACAATCCCTTAAAAGTCAGCATAGCCCTGTCCTTTACATATCTGAGAAGAAGAATTTTACAAAGTGAGCCTCGATTGTAAAAAAGAATTAGTCTTGATTTAACTTCACAATTGAGATAAGGAACGTTTTTGGCAAATATTACTGACTTTCCTTCTAATACACCAACCTTTGTGTCTCAGTGGAAATCTCTGAAACGTATAAAGTGCCTCAGTAATGTTTACAACTGTGATTTCAGTTGGGTGGTTCTTAAGTGAGAGTATAAACCTCAAGAACGTAGTGAGTTTTTGGGGTTAACAGATACCCAGAGATGTAATTACAGCTTTGATGTGTTTTCATTTGAGGAGTAGCTGTTACACTTACATATTTTTTTTCCTGGCAATTCTACCCTTTTCAGTGCCTTGCTTATCAGTTTTTGGATGGCTAACAGGTATAGTTAAGGTTTTTGTTCTTGTTTTTCAACATTTTAAAATAAATCCTTGATCTCTTGGGCATTTTATCTCTCATGTGACTCTTGAACTGTTCAACAGGACCAGTTTCATCTTTCAGGACAAAATGACATCAGTAATAAAACATATCATTGCATTTTTATTATAAGAATGGGAAAAACTGAATCTTAAGGTAGAATGTTTACAGAGAGGACATAGAATGAGAGTAAGCTTTTTAAAGCCTTGAATTTCAAGTAGGTTACTTGTAGTTTTAGTGAGTTTTTGAAAAAACCCTTGCTTTTGCTCTTAAGGAAAAGGATCCCTCTGAACACAATCCATGCGGAGAACTTCAAATATTTTTTTATTTTCAAAACATTTAAAAAATATTTTTTAAATTTATTTTTAGAGAGAGGGAGAGAAACATCAATGTGTGGTTGCCTTTCACATGCCTCCCACTGGGGACCTGGCCTGCAACCCAGGCATGTGCCTTGACTGGGAATTGAACTGGCAACCATTTGGTTTGCAGGCCCGTGCTCAGTCCACTGAGCTATACCAGCCAGGGTCAAAACATTTTCTTTAAAAAGATTTTATTAATTTTTGAGAGAGGGCAAGGGAGGAAGAGAGAGGGAGAGAAACATCAATGTGAGAGAGAAACATCAATCAGTTGCCTCTAGTAGGCACCCCTACTTGGGGACCGAAGCCGCAATCCAGGCATGTGCCCTGACTAGAAATCGAACTGGCAACCTTGTGCTCTGTGGACAATGCCCAACTGAGTCCAAACCGGTCAGGGCCAGATTATTTTTCTTTTTTTTTCTTATGATTTCATTTATTTATTTTAGAGAGATGGGAAGGGAGGAGGAAAGAGAGGGAGAGAAACATCAACGTGTGGTTGCTTCTTGCAAGTCCCCTACTGGGAACCTGGCCCACAACCCAGGCATGTGCCCTGACTGGGAATTGAACCAACGACCCTTTGGTGCAGGGCCAGCACTCAATCCATTGAGCCACACCAGCCAGGGCTAGATTATTTTTCTTATGACCCAAATATACAAGAACTTGTGGAAAAAATCCTAAATGAAAATTTTATTCTTTTAAAGGCCTAAAGGGAATATGTTAAGAATTTGTTTTTAATTTTCCTACAGGCATTTATTGAGAACATATTTGGAGTACTTCTCTGTGTTTTTGTATGGGTTACAGTACTATGTTCAGTTTTAGATTACCAAGTGATTTTTTATTATGTCCTTTGTCATTTGATTACCTCCCTTCTCTCATCATATTTTCTCCCTAAATGATCTCATTTATTCCCAGGACTTTAATATCCTCTGGATACAGATGACTCCCTCAGTTACACCTCCTGCCTGGGCCTTTCTCTGGTTCCAGACTTGCATTTTCAGCTACAGCCCTCCTATTATCTTGACTCACTTGCCTCACAGTGATCTCAAAGTCCACATATCCAAAACCGACCACTTCCAAATTAGTGTTCTCATTTCTGACCCCTTCCTCCCCTCTCCTCCAGCCTTCCCTGTCTTTTTGTCACTACTACTCACTCATTGTTCAGGCCAGACACCTGAAAGTCATCTTTGATTCTTCCTGATTCCTCACCCCATGTTCAATCTGTCAATGTGGCCTGTTGGCCTACCTGCCAGAACACCACAGATCCTTCATTCCCTCCCCACTCCTAATCCACCCACCATCCTCAGCTGGATCCCTACCTTTTATTGCGGTACCTAGCTTCCACTCTTACCCTCTCCTAACCCATGCTCCCCTGTACAGCCAGAGAGACCCTACCAAAAACATAAACCAGGCACGTCAGCCCCCTGCTCGGTGGCTCCCTGCAGCAGTTAGCCCATGTCTGCACTTCTTACACTGAGGTGTCCAGCCCTTGTCATCCTCTCCAGCCTCCTGTCCTTGCTCACCATGCTCCTGTCAGGTTGGAGCCCCCTCAGTCCCTCATGGGGCTGCAACAGAGATGCCAAGTGCCCCTCTGTAGACCTTCTCCCTGCCCGGCAGCCCCCAGCCCCTTTCTTCTCATAGAAGGATCCTTCTCGAACTTCAGTCTCAGCCAAAATACCCCGCAGAGGGCCTGTCCTGCTCAGCCCTTCTACAGTACATGTAAATTTCCTGCTTAGCTGACATTCCAAGTATTTCATTTATATGTTTGTCTTCTTCTTTATTGTCTACTCCCTCAGTAGACTGCAAGATCTACAAAGGCAGAGGAAACTTTGTCCTGTTTATTGTGCAGTCCTGGTACCTGGTGCTCTGCTTACAATCCAATAGATGCAGGGCCTTTGTATATTTTGAATAGTTATTATTATAACAGGTAACTCTTTTTGAGACTTACTTTTGAAAAAAATTCTCACCCAAGGATAGGTTTTTATTGATTTTAGAGAGAGAGGAAGGGGAAGAGAAAAAGAGAATGTGAGAGAGAAACATCGATGGGTTGGTTGCTTCCTGCACAAGCCCCAACAGGGAAGGGGGCAGGGTGGATCAAACCCACAGCCTTTTGGTGTATGAGACAGCGCTCCAACCAACTGAGCAACCCAGCCAGGGCGTTTTGAGACTCACTTTGTGCCAGGTCCATTGCTAAGTGTATTCACTCATATCTCTCAATATTGGGGAGAATAAAAAAATTAAAAAGAAAAATATAAACAAAAGGAAAGGAAAGAAAAATATTTAAAAATAAACAAATAAATATCTGAGAGAGCCTTTAACCAAGGTGGTGATGGTTTTACATGATTTCTATTTTTAGTTGAGAAAATTGATCTGAGAGAAGTTAAGTCATTTTTATTTATTTATTTTGAATTTTATGTAATTTTAAAGATTTTATTTATTTTTAGAGAGAGGGGAAATGGGGGAGAAAGAG